GAATGCACAAAAACAAAAGGTGCCGCACAAAAAGAACGTTTTCAAATATTCTCATAAAAAATAATTTAAAAATGTAGGTTTAAGCGCTTAGTATTTTTCTGTCTAAAGAATGAGTTAGTTATTATTAATTAATAGTCAAGGCAAAGTTTAAGCTTTTTTGTCAACTGTCATATTTTTTTCAGTTTAATTTTAGCTGTAGTTTTAACTTTCTGATTGCAAACAGAACTAACAGCTTTTCCTTTTTTTCTCAGTTTTTGTTGGTTAATTTTGATTAACTTTTATCTTCCATTTACAATGTAAAACAAGACAGCATACATTAACTTACATTATAAATCACAAATAAGCATTTTGCAGTTACAAATTGTTATTATAATGAGCTATATTTTAATTCTGATTTCTAACAGTATTTAAAGATGAGCAGTTGGCTGTTTGAGTCTCTATGTTTTAGTATCAAATCTGATCCCTCGTACAATAAAACATGTGAAGTCTTTCCTGTTGTAAAAACCAAGGTAGAGTTAAGGGCTTTTTTCCCTGTTATTTTCTAACATTTCGCCGCCTGTCTCGTGCACATGAGTCACCTCCTAACTGGCCAGAGAGCAGTGCCACCAGAGCTGGTGAGGGCAGGTTAAATACATCACTTATGGGATCTGCAGTGCTACAGTCCAGCAGCGGAGAGCATTACTCATTCACTTTCCCCTCCCACCCTGACCGCTCATTCTGGCAAATTGATTTGCTTCTGGTCAAAAGCCTCTCCACCTTCAGTAGCCAGCCTCCTCCTCCTCCAGCCTACACCTAAAAGCTGTATTTGACTTTTTTTCCCCTTTTTTTCATAAATCACAGCCAGGCAGGGTACATACATGATTAAAAGAGCCCAGATATCTGCGATTATTCACCATGACTGCTGACCCTTTAGGTAAAGCATGCCCAACGGTGCTTCTCCCTCTCTGTTCTCCTGGGTGTAAAGCCTTTTCCCTGCCCTTTGTTTGAAGGAAAAAGCAATGCAATATTTATATAGTGTCATTTAATCATTTCCATCTCCTCCACCACTGGCCAATCACATTTTGCAAAATTGCTAACTTTTTTTTTCTAGGTAAATGTTGATCTTCTTGGCTATTTAAAAAAAAAATATTTTCACATATTTGTGTATATATTTAGGTATTTTCTTACAATTAGTATTTAAAGTTGGTTTTTGTTATATTTTGATATTTACATGCTACATGATTTTTGAATAACTCTCTTATATTTTCTGTAACCTCTCAGCCAGCGGTCACCATATATTTGTCGGTGGAGGCAGCAAACTCACATTTTTGTCACCATGGTTCAGTGAGACAGATTCGGCTTCTGGGCCGCAAGTTGATGATCACTGCTCTAGGCTATTTCGAAGATGACTTGAAGGGATCCTTCTGGTGATCAGGTTTTCTGAACCTCCTTATGTTAGCTAACTCTTGGCAATTTCTGCTGTACAAAATGTCAATTCTTTGAAAATTAGAAGCTAGTTTCTTCCCTTAGTTTAAGTAAGTATCCATTTACAACAAAAATTAACAAATTCTTTTTGATCAAACCTTTAGGCGTCTTCTTGATTAAACTGTACATTTTGAAAATGTAATTTATTATTTTGTAGATTTTAGCTAATTTATTTAAAGTGAAATTTTGGACCTTCTTCTTCTTCTTGTCTAATTTGTAGAAATTCTTGGATAAAATTGG